TGGGTGGAAGCTTGAAAAACAGTGAAACGGAGCCTTGAGTTCAAAAGCTCAGGGAGGCTGGGGGGCGGCTCAGCGGTGGAGCGCGGGCCCAGCAGGCACCAGGCCCCGGGTTCAATGCCTCAGCACCACATACACAGAAAAATGCCAGAAGTGATGCTGTGGCTCAAGTGGTTGAATGCTAGCCTTGAGCAAAAGAAGCTCAAGGACAGCACACAGGCCCTGAGTTCAAGCCAGGACTGGCCAAAAAAAAAAAAAAAGGGTCTTTTGAATGAACTTTTCTGCCTGGGCTTTTGATAAACCATGATCCTCAGATCTCAGCCTTTTGAATAAGTGGGATTATAGACATGAGCTATTGGTGCAGGACTCTGAATGTTTTTTGTTTTTTTTTTTGGTCAGTGTGGGACTTGAACTCTGGGCCTGGGTGCTGTCCCTCAGCTCTTCAGCTCAAGGCTAGAGCTCTACCACTTAAGCCACAGTGCCACTTCCGCCTTTTTCTGTTTATGTGGTGCTGAGGAATTGAACCCAGGGCCTCATGCATGCAAGACAAGCACTCTACCACTGAGCCACCTACCAGCCCCTCTGAATGTTTTTGTTTTTATTTCATTTTATTTTTTTGGTCGGTTGTTGGGCTTGAACTCTGGGCCTGGGCGCTGTCCCTCAGCTCTTCAGCTCAAGGCAAGTTTACTGCTTGAGCCACAGTGCCACTTCTGGTTTTCTAGTGGTTTATTGGAGATAAGAGTGTCATGGAGTTTCCTGCCTGGGCTGGCTTTGAACCAAGATCCTCAGATCTCAGCCTCCTGAGTAGCTGGGATTACAGGCGTCAGCCACCAGCGCCCAGCTTATCTGAATGTTTTTAATATGTAATGAGTTGGTTTTCAAGGAAAAAATGTTTTCTACTTTTTTTTTTTGATCAGTTGTGGGGCTTGAACTCTCCCTCAGCTCTTCAGCTTAAGACAAGCTCTCTACCGCTTGAACCATAGCACCACTTCCATTTTTCTAGTAGTTAATTTGAGATAAGAGTCTCACGGACTCTTCGGCCTCCTGAATAGCTAGGATTACAGGCGCAAGCCACCAGCTCCCAGCTCTACTTTTTTTTTTTTTTGTCGGTCGTGGGGCTTGAACTCTGGGCCTGGGCGCTGTCCCTCAGCTCTTCAGCTCCAGGATAGCGCTCTACCACTTGAGCTACAGCGCCACTTCCGGTTTTCTGGTGGTTTATTAGAGATAGGAGTCTCACGGTCTCTCCTGCCCGGGCTGGCTTTGAACCACGATCCTCAGATCTCAGCCTCCTGAGTAGCTAGGATTACAGGCGTGAGCCACCAGCGCCCAGCTCTACTTTTTTTTTTTAATGGTAAAGAAGACTTAAAATATTTTTTTCAAAAGTGTAATTTCAGGGTAAGTGTGACTCAGTGGTAGAAGGCGTGCCTAGCATGTACAATGTCCTGGCTTTTTGCCAGCATATGTGTACCCCCCCACCCCCACCCCCACACCCCTGCACTTCTAGATTAGTGCAAAACCCATGCTGACATTTGTGGGAAATAGACAAGCTTATTAAAAAGAAAAGAACCCCAAACTCCTTCCATCCTGATGCCCAAAGATAATGGCGTATTGATGGACTCTAAAAAGTAGAGGTGAAGTTTATGCAGAATGAAATGCCTGAGCCTTTGCGTGCGGTCAGGGAGGCTCGTATCCGTGTCACTGGACACAGCGAGCCTCCTCCCAGCAGCCCCCGCGCCACACCGGGCTCTCCGGGTTTCTGTCAGCTCTGACCTCGTGGAGTGAGCGCTCCTGTCCTGACCCTTGCTCCGGCAATGTTCCCTCTTCACGTGAGCTGCCTGAGGAGATTTGTTGAAAATAAACTGATAGCGCGATGTGGGTCTCCAGGTTTTGTTTTGACCTGGATGATTTAAAAGTATAGAGGGTTTTGTAGATTTTTTTTGGCGGGGTGCTGGGGTTTGAACTTGGCCTTGTGTTTGCTAGGCCGGTGTTCTCAATCTTGGGCACAGCCCCATCTGACAGACTTCTTGTCCTTTCTTACCTCCAGGAGACAATATGCTGTGTAATAATTTAAATGCATGTATTGTTTGTTTGTTGTGTTGAGACAGGGTCTTGGCTGTGTAGCTAGCTACCTCAAACACAGCTCTGTGATCCTCCTGTCCAGCCATCCTCAGTGGAAGAATTATGCTGTGCTTTTAAATGAATGAGACTGGACTTGTTTTGTGTCTAAGACTGTTCTCTTTCTTGGTGAATATTCCAGATACACTTGATTTTGCCAGGCACCAATGGCTCACATCTATAATCCTAGCCACTCAGAAGGCTGAGATCTGAGGATCATGATTTGAAGCCAGCCCAGGCAGACAAATTGTTGAAAACTTACCTCTAGAAGAAGGCAAAAGCCAGAATAGAGCGGGGGGCGCTGGCGGCTCACCCTTGTAATCCTGTCTACTCAGGAGGTTGAGATTGAGGACCTGGTTTGAAGGCAGCCTAGGCAAGAAAGTCTTTGGATTCTTACCTCCAGTTAGCAGCAAAAAGCTGGAAGTAGAGCTTTGGCTCAAGTGGTAGAAGTCCAACCTTGAGTGAAAAAGCTAAGGGACAGAGCCCTGGACCTGAGTTCAAGCCCTAATACCAACATCCCTCTTCCCCAAGAAAAAAGCCGGAACAGGAGTTACAGTAGAATGCCAGCTGTGAGCAAAACAGCTGAGCAAGAGTGCACAGCACATGGCTCTGAGTTCAAGCCGCAGTACCATCACCACCAAAAAAGAGAAAAGGAAGCCGGGCGCCGGCGGCTCACACCTGTAATCCTAGCTGAGCTCTGAGGACCCCCGGTCAAAACCAGCCAGGGCAAGAAAGTCTGATAGCTTATCTCCAATTAACTACCAGAAAACTGGAAAAGGTGCTGTGGCTCAAAATGGTGAAGTGCTAGCATTGAGCAAAACAGCTCAGGGACAGCACCTTAAGCCCATGGCCAATCCAAAAAAAAAAACAAAAGAAGAAAAAGAAAAAGAAAGACTTACTCAGTGTGGACTTTAATGTCCAGTAATGCTATTAGGCCAAAACCGTTCCTAGCACTGCTCGGCTCTTCCAGGGGAAGAGCTGTCTGTAGCATTAACCTTCCTGCTGGACCCATTGCTTCTGCCTCCTGGGCAGACCAAACTCTGTCAGAACCAGACCGGAATTCTGTTTGAAGTCTTAAAACAGCAAAGAGAAGTCACTAAGCGGTTCAGTGCTTATGAGAAGGTGAGAGACAGGCGGTGGCGCTGTGGCTCAAGCGGTAGAGCGCCAGCCTTGAGCACAGAGGCCCTGAGTTCAAGCCCCACAACCAACAAATAAAAAAAAAAAGTGACAGTGAGGGGCTGGGAAGGTGGCTCAGTGGTAGAGCGCTTGCCTTGCATGCATGAGGCCCTGGGTTCGATTCCTCAGCACCACATAAGCAAAAAGA